CTCACACACACACACACACACACACACACACACACACGCACACACACACACACACACACACACGCACGCACACACACTCACTCACTCACTCATACAAACAAACACACAGACACACAGAAATAGATGCATACGTACACACCATATTGTTAAGGAACAGTCCAGATTGAAAATAATCATCCCCTTAAGGAACAGGTTCAAACAGAAGAGTTCACCCCTCCCCCCCCCCCCCCCCACCCGTCTTCCACAATCCCCCTAGAGCGTGAGTGAGCTGACCTGTCGGACATTGTCCACCAACACCCTTGCGCTCGTCCTTCCTCGCTCTCCGACCAGCATGCAGTGGGGCGTGCACGTCGAGCGGTCAGGGGAGGCAACCGCCGTGTGCACAGACAGGGCGTACAACCAGCGGTTAGAGGGGGTGTCGTCAGCCAGTGGGAGGTAACGCCACTGGGGATACGGGGGTGTGATTGAAAGTATGATAATATGTACGTATGCACATTTGTGTGTCTGTGTATGAGTGTGTGTGTGTGTGTGTGTGTGTGTGTGTGTGTGTGTGTGTGTGTGTGTGAATATGTGTGAATGTGTGTGTGTGTGAATGTGTGTGTGAATGTGTGTGTGTGTGTGAAATGTGATGTGATGTGTGTGTGTGTGTGTGTGCGTGCGTGTGTGATGTGATGTATGTGTGTGAATGTGTATTTTCGCGTGTGAATTTACATTAACACGTATATGTTTGTGCTCGCACGCGCGCGCCAGTGTGTTTGTGTGTGTGTGTGTGTGTGTGTGTGTGTGTGTGTGTGTGTGTGTGTGTGTGTGTGTGTATGACTGTCTGTATATATTATAATGTATTACAGAGTATTATAGTATATGATCTTATGTTATGTTATGTTATGTTAATGTTATGTTATGTCATGTTATAATATACTATATTATATAGTATTATATTGTATTATATTATATTACATTATAGTATAACAAACAGAGGGAGGTTGGCGGGTGCTCTGCAGTGGTATGCTTCTTCTTTCCTATGAAACATCTGTCGTCCTTATCTCCCCTTCTTCTGTTTTATGTTTGTTCTCTCTTGTGACACCTTTAATCTTCTGGTGCTCATATGACCTTATGCAGTTGCGAGCGCCGTAAAACCTCTACTACTAAACTACTAAACAAACGAACATGTGTGTCGGTGCCCTAGTGGTTAGGCTACCAAATCCGTAATCGTTTGATATCGTGTTCGTGGATTCGAGCCTCAGCTCGGTCTAACGTCGTGCCCTTGGGAAAGACAGGTTGTATGAATTTCTAATTTGGCTCGTTCCTGTCGGAGATGGACTTTAAAACTCGGAGGTCTCGCCTCTTGAATAACCTGATAATGTCGATAGAAGCTTTAAACTTCTTCCATTTTACTATTTCATAAACAAATATACATCTACCCCCCTCCCCACCCCCACCACACACAAACACACGCACACAAACACACAAACACACACACACACACATACACACACATGTGGCGTCGGTGGCCTAGTGGTTAGGCTCTCGGACTCGCAACCGTAAGGTCGTGGGTTCGAATCCCGTCAGGGGCCCGACGTTGTGTCCTTGGGAAAGGCACTTTGCACAAATTTTCCTCACTTCACCCAGGTGGAAATGGGTACCCAGCTATAGACAGTGAAAGATCTTGTCAGTTTGATAGTGTTTGAGCGCGTGAAATCCGCAGCTTGCACTGTATGCTTCCGCGGAAGCTGAGAATGTTTCTGAGTGTTCTCAGAGGGTCTGCTGGGGTAATAATGGTTGTAAAGCGCATAGAGCAAGCTCTTGAGCGTGGATATGCGCTATATAAATGCAATTATTATTATTACATGTATACATAATATACACATACATACATACACACACGCGAGCAAGTACACATTCGAAACACACACACACACACACACACACACACACACACACACACACACACACACACACACACACACACACACCACAACACACACACACACACACACACACACACACACACACACACACACACGTACACACACATACATACACCCACATACACTCCCCACACACATACAAATACACATTCACACACGCGCACACGGGCAAGTACACATTCTCGCACTTACACACACACATACACACACACACACACACACACACACACACACGCACACACACACACATACACACAGACACACACAAGAGCTGTATTCACCAGCTTTTGGTCAGCCTTGTCCTTTCGTCGTAGCCAGATAACAACCAGCAACGACAGCAAAAGGATCAGACAGTTGGCAGCAAGGACGTGGGGACTGTCTTCTAGGTAAGAGGAAAAATTGGCGGCGATGTCTGCGAAGTCAATGGGGTTTGGCGAGATCACGAGGCTGCTGACAGCCAGAGAGCTGAAGATGTCTGCTGTGAAAGTGACGCTGTTTTCAGAGCCCACGTCTGTCACCTGGGAAGGGGTGAATTTTAGTAGTATAATATGTGTATTTGGTTTGAGTAAGAACTTCAAATCAAGAGGACGAAAAAGAAGGACCTGGCTGGATGGGGTTAAAGAAAAAGGTCCTGGAACAACCTAAGATATCTATCACAGACGCCACACACATAGCAAAGGACTGAAACCTGCACCTCCCCTCGACATTCTAAGGATACCAGATAACAAAACAAAAACAAGTAACTTTACAAGTTGAAAGTGATTTAAAACATGGGTCGCTACATCTTTCTTTCCACTCCTTACACAAGAGGATGTCGGTAAAAGGATGTGACCCTCTACAAAAAGAACAAAAATGCAATAGTTGAGTTTATACATCATATTTCCACTCCTTAAACCACGAGGAGATTGGTCTTATAGATGTAACTCAATAGAATGACCAAACACAAAATGAGAATAGACATCTGCTTTCCTCTTGAAAAAAGAAAAAAAAAAGAATGGTGATCTAAACATATAACCTCAAATTGTATGGATTGAATTACCTAAATTAACGTATTCATATAAGGTATCTGATCCCATACAATCGGCGGATTCCAAGTAGTGTCCTTTTAGAAATTTTGATTTATAATAATATTGCTCCATTTTTTATTTTAATATTATTTCATTATTTTACTCAAATGAATTCTATTGTTAGCATTATTGTTTTTTATATTGATGTTATGGCCGTGTTTCTTCTTCTTCTTCTTCTTCTTCTTTTTCTTCTTCTTCTTCTTCTTCTTCTTTTTCTTCTTCTTCTTCTTCTTCTTCTTCTTCTTCTTCTTCTTCTTCTTCTTCTTCTTCTTCTTCTTCTTCTTCTTCTTCTTCTTCTTCTTCTTCTTCTTCTTCTTCTTCTTCTTCTTCTTCTTCTTCTTCTTCTTCTTCTTCTTCTTCTTCTTCTTCTTCTTCTTCTTCTT